TGTCCCCCGGCATCCCCCTTCCCCGGCAGCACGGCTCGGTCCTGCTGCTTCTCTGCCCGCTGGTCATCTCATTCACAAGAGCACGAGGCTGGCACAAAGCTCTCCCTGCCAGGTTGCTTGGCTGTGGGTGACCACATCCCAAGGGAGGTAAGATGACCCCCACATCTCTCTAGAGAGACTTTGAGTTGCTGTGATGTTGCCCCTGGTTTTGGCAGAGCTGCAGTGTCCTCGCTCAGGACACTGCCCATCCTTTTTGATTCACAGCACTTTCTCATCCCCTGCAGCCCCCAGGCTCGGGTCCTGCTGCTTGGCAGGAGAAGCAGGCTCTTGGCTGTGATACAGCCCGAGTTCTGTATCAAGATAACCCATTGGAAATAGTTGTCTGTACGTCAGCACTTTAGGAGAGAGAGCAGGCTCTCCGATTCACTCTCAAAGCAGTAGTCAAGGTCAAACCGAGGTGGCAGTTTTGGGGTTGGTCTGGACTGGCCAAAGGAAAAAAAAAAAAAAGAGAAAAAGAAAAAAGAACAGCAATTTGCCTCTGCTAGGATTTCACAGCTAGGAATTTCCCCTAGAGAGGGAAATTGATGTCACAGCAGATCAGCTTTTCTGTAATTAAGACATAACCTCTAGAGCATAAACAGGGCCAAAGAGGTCTCCGAATTGGCAGAAGGTGTGGACTACCAATCCCACAGGCAGGCAGGCAGAGACACCCAAAATGAGCTTATGTTTGTTTTTCCAGTAAGAGAAACGCTATTTTGAATTCAGTGCAGGAAAAGAAATTTATAGACTCTTTCCACTCCAGTTAGTTTCCTCACAGTCTGTGCTTAGTCAGGAACTACTCTTTGTGAAATGAAGTATGAGATCAATCTCTGAGAAAAGTGACCCTGCTCAGTATAATGGCACTATTCATGGCATAAGCTTACCCCTGTGTGCAAATATCTGCAGATTCTGTTGCTCATATTCCCTCGTGTCTGCATACAACCATCAAAAAATAGGAACATTTGAAGGAAAGAATAAATCCAGGAATACAGGCCAATAAACAGGTAAGTTCCTTTTTAAAACAGTTGCACTGTGCTATGCTGATGGCATCTGCAAATACTTGGAGGCATTACTGCACATCTGTGTGTGGATGTTTTGACCATTCTTTGGTGTTGCTGAAGAATATTTACACCACTGTATCCACAATGTGTGCTTGGAGTCACACCCTTTCTTTAAGTCCCACAAATTCAAACACCATCAAAAATTCATCCTCTCAGAAGAGACAAAGGAGTGGTGAATTCACCATGGCACGTTTACAGATACAAAACTCCCTCAGGGGATATCTGGCCTTAAAACATGGCAGCAATTTTGTCAAGTAACAGAGCTAGAGCATTATATACAATTGCAAGTTCTGTTTATAAAGGAAGGGGCTAATAAAAGTGCAAAAAGGAAAAGGACATCTAGGGGTAAGTCTTTGAGTGTTCAGAACCAGTAGGTACACAAGGGAAATAATTGTTTCCAGACAGGAGGCAGGCAGCAGTCCACATTGTGTAGTGAAGAAAGAGCAGACAGCTTTCAGCACACTTGTTTCCAATCAAGGGGAAACCAAGGGTTTGAGGCCAGCCTGAATGGAAAACACAACCCATACAGGTTGCTAGTCCAATCCAGGGACAAGGATGGAAGCAAGAGAAGAGAAAAGTTGCTTTCACAGACACAGACCCTGGGCGTTAGTGCTGCTGTAGTTGCTGAGGAGCCTCCTCTGTGGCTTTGGCAGCACTGCCTTAGGTGCTGTACAAAGAGAACAAAAAGATCGTTCCACTCTGACTCTCTCAGTGCACATTCTTCAAGTAAAACTCCAGTGCTGGGTGTTAAAACATCTTGCTTCTCCTTCAGCTATGTTCTTAATTTAAATTTGTGCTTCCTGCTTCCAAAGAAAATCATTACAGTGCTTAAGGACACTGAAAC